ATATATATATATATATATAGTTTACACAGGTTTAATTTATTAATTATATAATTAACGATAGATTTACAACAATCGTAAAAATTAACACGTTATATAAACAACAACTACACATAAATATTTTTATCATTTGTTTTTTTTTATAGATATTTATGCTACGATAAATTTTGAAAAGAAATAAATATTCTATGAAAAATATTTTCGTGATAATTTAATGAATTTTTCTTAAGAAACTTTTGAAATGAATTCTGCGTGTAAATATTATTGATTTGATTAAATTTTGTAATTGACTAATTCTAAATTGCAATAATAAATCTTGACAAGTTGTCAAATTAAAAATGAATGATCGAATTAACGATTGAATATGAATAAAAAAAGCTTGATAAGAGATTAGATAAGAATATTAACAAAAAGTTTAAGTGATTTTGATGTTGGATATATGAATAATTGTATAAGATAAAATAAATATGGATGTTATTTTCCAGTTGTAACCTAATAAGTCACTAGGGTAAACGATCTAGTTACTCTAGTTATCTTAATGTCTCCTCCACAACAATTAACTAACATCAAGAGATATAAAGATTTATATTACATTATAAATAAGCTTGCAATAATCTTTTCACCAAATATTCACCAAGAATATTATTCTTAGTAAAAAGTATATTTTATTAATTTTTGTAGAAAAATATTTGAGAAAAAGTATCGATGTAAAAAAAGAGAGAAAATATCTATATTACGAAAAATAAATAATTGATAAGTAAAATAAAAATTTATTATCGAAATTTCATAATATCAAGTAAACAAGACAAAAATTTTCTTTTTGAAAGATAAAAAATACGTAAAAAAATAATCGACTCTCTACAAATCTTAAATGCAAAACAAAAAATGAAAACAATGTCTGTCAAACTTTCTTTCAAAACTCTTGATCAAATAAATCTACTAATAATACACCATATAATAGCACACAAATTATATCTTTAAATGCAAAACAAAAATTTAAAAAGTATCTTCTCAAAACTCGTTCAAACTCTTAGAACCTTCTTCAAATAAATATCCTATACATAAATTACACTATACACCCTATATAATTACGAAATTACATTACATAATTGTTAAAATCTTAAAAAATCTTAAAAAAAAATTTCGTTCCCTCGACAGAAATTCCTTCCTCTTCGCAATCTTCACTCCTGCCTATCACGTAACCGCTATTCCTTCCCGGTATAAATTACTGAAAATCTCGTTACATACCAGAATGAAGCGAAATTACGAGTGGAGGACTCTGCGCGAACGATGGATACTCGTTCGTAGGAGCGTAGTACTGGCGCGGTCACTCCTTCCCTGCACACGCTCCTTTACACATAAATACTTTTATCGCGTGCTCGAGACGATGCGGTTCAGAGGCGAGATCCAGAGTGGAGCTGCAACCGAATACGACAGCCGCGTCGTTCGCGATATTTTCGGTGTCAAGGTGTACCAGAATCGATCATCCTTCGTCTTTTTTACCGGCCCGCTCTTCGTCCCACGTAGTTTGTAAACGTGACTCGTTTCATTCATCGGACCGGGCAGCAAGGGGAATAACCCGCGTACAACGATACACAATAACGCCCCGAAAAAAAACCCCGAAAAATCGGATCTTGATTTGAATTATGGGCTGATCGATTATGGTTCGAGCTGGTCGCACATTGTGCACGGGGATTAATAGAGTGGAACGGAAGGGAGGGGCGAGGTTCTGTTTTTTCTGCCTTCGATGCTCGTGACTTTTGATAATAAAAAATTGATTTGCTCACGAATTTTATTCGATATCGATTACTTCTAACGGGGGGCAAATAAAAATTGTTCGTGTTGTGATATATATAATGGCGAAATTTTGTTCTCTAAAAAATAATATATATAATGGAAAAATTTTGTTCTCTAAAAAAAATTGATTTGCTCACGAATTTTAT